GACCCCCCATCAAACAAGAACCGCCCCCTCCCAGCTGATCGCCCCCCACTCACCGCCCCCAGGACCCCTCAACCCCCCGCCATGCCGCCCCGCCCACCTCAGCGCGCACCGCGAGGGGCGGGACTTCCGCCGTCGCCTAGCAACGGGAGGAGACGCTGCCGGTTAGCCCCGCCCCTTACCGAAGATACGTGCGCTGATTGGGCGCCGCCTAGCTCCTCCCCCTCAGCGGCGGCATTTCGAATCCGAAAGGGGAGGCGCACGACTATTGGCGGAGATCTGCTGGCGGGAAATAAGCCACGCCCCCGCGAGGAGGGAAAATTGCGCAATGTGGGCGTGGCTTAGAGACCACGCCCACAGGCGTGGGGCTGCGCGGGGCTCCGGGACGGGACGGGACGGCAGGGCAGGGCAGGGCAGGGGTTGTCCTATGTCGTGTCGTGCCATATCGTGCCGTGTCCCGATATCCCACCCCGCTCCCCGCCTCTATGGGAGCTCCGCGGGGCGGGCACAGCCCTGCCGGCCCCCGGTGCCCCCCCGCAGTGCGTTGCATAAGCGGCCCCGTGACCTAAAGTCGAATAGCGCTGCGTGTCACCCCAGGGCCAGGCGGGGAAACTGGGGCAGCGGGGCCCGAGGAGGACGAGGACGAGGAGGAGGGAGGTGACCACCGCGGCTCCGGAGCGGGGAGGTAACGCGGGGCCCCGGGGGCGGTGTTGTGTCACTGCCGAGGTGTCCCTCTGGTGACGGTTCCGCTGCACAGCCCCGAGGTGCGGACGCAGGGCTGTGTGCGCGCAGCGCTGTGCGGTTGCGCTGTTGTCACCCTCTCAGTGCAGAGGGAGCAGTGGAGGGGAGCGCTGTGCGTTGGTTCCGTGGGGTGACGACAGCCTCAGGTCCTCAGACCCAACCTTTGCTTCTCCCCGTATGGCTACCCGTGCAAATAACACAAAGAAATGAAGTTTAGTAGCTGAGAAGTTGCTCTGTCAACACGTGTGATTGTGCTCGCTGCAGCTGTTGGAATTGCCGTGAAAATAAAACGGGAGGCATTACTTTCGGAGCAGCCAACGCGCTTGTACGATGTAGAAACGCGATTAAATGGGGAATCTCGACCACAGTGCAGTGACCCGACCTGGCTTTGAGCAGAGGAGCACCTTGAAAAATGCACCTCATTAATTAGCGTTAATTACCGTTCAGCCCAATCTGCGACGGAGCCATCGGGGCGGAGCTCAAGTGACAGCAACACCCGGCAGCCAACTCTGATTGATAACTTTATTCACCAAAACTTGGCGTTCTTTAATTAGTAAACTCAGGCTAATTTCATTTCACAAAAAGCGATGGGCGAACGCACTCAGGTGAGGAGGGCACTCGTGGGGTGTGGTGTTCATCCCTCCAAAAAGCTCCCAGAAAGGAGAACGCAATCAGCAATATGTCTTCAACTCTTGGTGATCCCTGTGGGTCCCTTCCAGCTCGGTGTATTCTGTAGTAATTAGTGATGTGTGTTTGATTGGTGTTTTTGCTCTACTGGCCATGAGAGGGCAATATCAGAGCAATAATCACGGCACAAACACGTGGATTTGCCAAGCCATCCCACCATACCCGCTGCCCACGTTCCGCAGTGCCACATCCCACATTCCTTGAACCCCTCCAGGGATGGTGATCCCACTGGGCAGCCCACGCCAGTGCCTGACTGCTCTTTCAGAGAAGGAATTTCTCCTAATATCTGATCCAAACCTGAAGATGGGGCCGTGATGCTCAGAACAGCCCTTGCAGGCTCCCTGCTCTGCATGCTACACGTGATTCTCCGCCCCACGTGCCAGCTGGGTGCACCCCAGGCATTGGCACTCTGCTTTTCCTGTTCTTCCGTGGCCTGCAGTTGGTGCTGGGCTCCTTCCTGGTGCGCTCCTCAGTGCCTGTGAGTTTGTGGGTTTGGGTCTGCGGGGCACTCAGTGGGCTGTGTTACAGCTGGGGCTGCGCTGGGTGCATTTTGGTGATGCCAAGATGTGCTTTTGGGCACGGTGTGAGGTTGGCAGAGCTGCGTCACCACTGCGGCCATTTAGGAGGGTGTAGGAAGGGCGGTTTGCTGGGAGGAGCTGAACCAGGTTAGAGATAATTGCTTCATCCTGTGCTCATCCATTGTCTCCTGATTCTTTGGTTGGGTGCTTGGAACAAGAAGCAGGTTGGCACAAACCCAGGGGGAGGCAGGGCTCCTTGCTGTTGCTCACTGCTGCTCCCTGAGTGCATCCTTGTGAGCTGCCCTGAGCTCCCCCAGCTGCAGCCCTCAGGTCAGCTGCAATGCTTCAGTGGGTAATGATGGATGAGAGGTGACGGCCTCACGTTGCTCCAGGTGAGGGTCAGGTTGGGTTTTGGGAGCCATTTATTTCTTCTCCAAAGGAGCAGTGATGCGTTGGCACAGACTGCCCAGGGAGAGGTGGGGTCACTGTCCCTGGGGGGGTTCAGAACTGCAGAGCTGTGGCACTGAGGGATGCGTCTATGGGCACAGTGGGGTTGGGGAGATTGGGAGTTCCATCTTTAATGATTTTATCATTACCTGTGGGGAGAGCCCACATTCTCTGTGAGCATGGGACTCAGGCAGCTGCTGAGCAGTGGGACCTGGTGTGAACATAGGACTTTGGTCCCATCTCTCCCATGAGGGCTTATGAAAAAAACAGAAAAGATTGCTGCAAACAGAGCTGAGCAGTGGTAGGAGCTCTGTTCACTTGCCCTCATTCCTTCACGGGGATGCTGCACTCCCAAAGCCAGTGTAGAATCGTGGAATGGCCGAGGTTGGAAGGGACAGATCTCAGAACCAGAGCCATGGGGGTTGGAAGGGACCTCTGGGGGTTTCCTGCCCAACGCCCACGATGACCATTGGTGCAATGAGGTCTTTCCAGAGCCTTTTCTTCTCCCTTCCCCGTCCCCCAGCTGTGGGCAGGATGCGGCACCGCACCATCCACCTCTTCCGGAAGGGCCTCCGGCTGCACGACAACCCAGCCCTGCTGGCTGCACTGCAGTCCTCCGAGGTCGTCTATCCCGTCTACATCCTGGACAGAGCCTTCATGACATCTGCCATGCACATAGGAGCCCTGCGGTGGCATTTCCTGCTGCAATCCCTGGAGGATTTGCGCAGCAGTTTGTGCCAGCTGGGTTCCTGCTTGCTGGTCATTCAAGGAGAGTATGAGTCTGTCGTCAGAGATCACGTCCAGAAGTGGAACATCACGCAGGTGACTCTGGATGAAGAGATGGAGCCCTTTTACAAGGAGATGGAGGCCAACATTCGGGCTCTGGGAGAAGAGCTGGGCTTCGAGGTGCTCTCACTGATGGGTCACAGCCTCTACAACACACAACGGTACGTGGCTGCTCTACAGACCAGCAAGGCATCTCCAAAAGGTTTGTTTCACATTTAGCAAACATCACAGAGGAAAGGCTGAGGATCTCAGTTCCTCTGATGAGCTCCTTTTGAGAAGATGGGGCTCTCTGAGGTAGTGGCACTGGCTGCTGGAGAATTCTGAGTTGGCAGAAGAAGCTTCGGTGGTTGCGCAGGTTTTGGGATGTTGGGTTCTAATTAGAGCCTGAGGAATTTGTTATTTTTTCCCCTGTGGGCAGTTTAATTCGCTTTAAGCCCTTCCGCTAACGACTCTTAAACAGCAGGAGAAATTCACTAACACATGGGAATGGTCTGATGGTTGGATGAGATGAGGGTATTTTCCAACCTTAATGATTCTGTGATCCTACATTCAAAAGGACTTCTGTCTGCCTTTTGGGATCTATCTCACCAACTTTCACTGGTGTGTGGATAATTGTGGTTCCACGCAGTTATCCACAGCTGAAAGACGGCAGATAATGAAGTTAATAACGATAGGGAGGTAATCATTAAAACAGCCTTAACACCTCACCCTGAAAAGCCCTCGATTGCTGTGAATACATGGATGGACGTGGTGTTCCATCTTGAATTCAAACCATCTGTTCCCACTGGTGGTTGCTCCACAGACTGGGGCTGTTACTGTGCTGTCACCTCCCTGTGCACCCACGGCTCCAGTTTCCTTCTTGATCCATGTTACCACGAACACTGATCTAATTTTACGTGTAGGATTTTGGAGCTGAATGGTGGGACTCCCCCGCTGACATACAAGAGGTTCCTTCACATCCTGTCCCTGCTTGGGGACCCGGAGACGCCAGTCCGAAACCTCACAGCTGAGGACTTCCAGTAAGTGAGACCCAACAGGGGATCTGCAGAGCCTTCCTCTGCCCAAACGAGTGGGGTCAAATGATGACAGTGACTTTCAGACATGACACTGCATTGCATTTTTGCATGGAGGGTTATTGATGTGATACGGCTGTCGGGAGAGGAGAGCAGATGGGGGTAGCACAGCCTGAAGGCATAAAGCTTTTGTAGGGTGCATTGAGAAGAACTTTTCATGCAATGAAGGTTGAGCAGAGGAGTTGCCAAGGAATTCCAGGTCTCTTTCACCACATCCTGGTGCTCTCCAGCCTTGGATTCAGGCTCTGATGGGCTCCTTCTCCCCCATGGAGCATTCAGCTTGGGGTTTCTGGCTGTGCTTCGGTTCCCCTGTGCCACAACAGAGGAGGTCTTGGTGTGTGAATGGGGTCTGGCAAACTCTCTTGGTTCTGGTTCCCTCTCTTTTGCATTAGGAGATGCAGCCCTCCTGAGCTGGGCCTGGCTGAGTGCTACAGGGTCCCTTTGCCCACGGATCTGAAGATCCCCCCCGAGAGCATCTCCCCATGGAGAGGAGGGGAGAGCGAAGGGCTGCAGCGCCTGGAGCAGCACCTGGCAAACCAGGTCTGTCCTGATGGCACGGGGTTGTGCGGGTGGGCTGAGGTTGGTGCCATCCAATGGCGTGTGGTTGTGGCTGGACTTCAAGAAACCAGTTGGCTGTGGCCTCCAGTTCTTGCTGAGGATTTGCCCTCCAAGCAGCCCCACCTCAGGATTTTGTTGTTCTTGATGGGAGGATTGTGGTCGGAGTATTTTCCATGCGTGTTGCACACGCATAAACAGCCAAGAGCCCATCCCTGTCCATTGGCTGGACGTTTCTCACCTTGCTCTGCCTGAACCTTGATTTCTGTTCTCATTTCAGGGCTGGGTGGCCAGTTTCACCAAACCAAAAACAGTCCCGAATTCACTGCTTCCAAGCACCACCGGCCTGAGCCCCTATTTCAGCATGGGCTGCCTGTCAGTCCGCAGCTTCTTTTATAGGCTGTCAAACATTTATGCTCAGGTAAGGGAAAAATTGGCCATAGTCAAGCAAATGCAATACTTCTGAGGCTGGGGTTTAACCCTCTTGGCAGAGAGATGATGCAAATAATGCAACTTCACCAGAGTCTTCTCACAATGTCTTATGAATCCAGTCAGTATGCTGATCAGTGTATGTTTAGTACAAAAATCCCTATGTGATACCTTTTTGGAAGGTAGATGGGGAAAGCTCAAGACTAAACGAGATCTAACAGAATTCAGCTTTGGTACAAAAAGCATTGCTTCAGGTCGTTGGTTTCTTTGGCTTTCATGGGAAACCACCATGGAGGCAGCAGCGTGGTTAAGATTAATGTTTCCTTTGTGGGCATCACCAAATGAGTGAAACTGCATGGGGTGAACAAATGGAAGTGTTGATCTCCGTGTCTTTGCAGGCCAAGCACCACTCCCTGCCCCCCGTGTCGCTCCAAGGGCAGCTGCTGTGGAGGGAGTTCTTCTACACGGTGGCATCAGCAACACCAAACTTCACCAAAATGGCTGGGAATCCCATCTGCCTCCAGATCCGTTGGTATGAGGATGCTGAGAGGCTCCATAGATGGAAAACGGTAACGTGATGCATTTCCACGACGGCTGCGTTTTGGCTTGAACCATGCAGGAGGGCTGACGTTGATTTCTGCCTCAGGCTCAGACGGGGTTCCCATGGATTGATGCAATCATGACCCAGCTGAGGCAGGAGGGCTGGATCCACCACCTTGCCCGGCACGCTGCCGCCTGCTTCCTGACCCGCGGGGACCTTTGGATCAGCTGGGAGGAGGGCATGAAGGTTCACTTCTGATTTTGGGTTTTTTCTTTTTGTTTGGTGATTTTCCCTTCTGGCTGGTCTTGAGAAAGCCCTGCGCACCGTGAGCATTGTCACAGTACAGTGGAGTGGGGAAGATGGGGATGTGTTGATGGTAGGACTTGACAGTCTTAGTGTTTTTTTCCAACCTTAATGATTCTATGATTCTACCAGAGCTTTATTACTGAACCTCACTAAAAATCTCATGGTTTATAAAAACCTCATTGTCTTTTTCTTGAGTCTGGGTCATGCTGTACAGGGCGCAGTGGTGAGAAGCCATTCCCATCCCCAAGGTCTGATTTTTGGCTGATGATGATAATATTGGAGACCTGCCCACTCTGTGGCAGTCTTCAAAGTCAGAGCTCTGAGCTTTGGGTTTCTCTGACACCAGGTCCTGCTTGAGCTTCCTTCCATGTGTGCAGAGTATCCTGATCAGTGCAGTGCGAGCTTCTACCTCCATCTACCAGCCTCTGTTTGTTGTGTGGTTGGTGGTAGTAGGTGGTTGGTTGGTTGTTGGTTTGTTGTTGGTTGGTTAATGATGGTTGTTGGTGGTTGGTTTGTTGGTTGGTTGTTGGTTGGATAGTGGTTGTTGATTACTTGGTTGGTTGTTGGTGGTTGATTGGTTGGTTAGTGGTGGTTGACTGATAGGTTGGTTGGTTGTTCGGGGGTTGTTGGTTGGTTAGTGATGGTGGTTGGTGGTTGGTTTGTTGGTTGGTTGTTGGTTGGTTAGTGGTTGTTGATTACTTGGTTGGTTGTTGGTTGGTTGGTTAGTGGTTGTTGATCTTTTGCTGTTTGTTGGTTGGTTAGTGATAGTTGTTGGTTGGTTGGTGGTGGTTGTTGGGCAGTTGTGTTTTTACCATGTAGGCAGCCGTTTCAGAGGTATTTTTCTCTTCCTGTCCCCAAAATTCAGGTGTTTGAAGAGCTGCTTTTAGATGCTGACTACAGCATCAATGCAGGGAACTGGATGTGGCTGTCAGCCAGTGCCTTCTTCCACCACTACACACGGATCTTCTGCCCGGTCCGTTTTGGGAGGCGCACAGACCCGGAGGGGCACTACATCAGGTAGGGCCACACACAGCATGGTGCCTTCTGCTCAGTGCTGCTTCCCTGCTCCTCTGACAGCAGGAGCTGGGGAACTCAATCTGCATGAAACAACCCCTGTGGTTTATTTAACGTGGAAGGAAACCCCAAAGGCTGTGCTTATGGAGGTGATGACTGAGCATGGAACTGCATTGACTTGTGAGTGCCTGCAGACTCCAGGAGCATCCAATTGCTGGGAGAACACTGAGTATGCTCCACTCCATGTTGTCAACTATGGAAGTTTATGAGCTCTTAAAGAGCTCATCTCTCCCAGACGTGTACTGAGCCTTATTAACACATCAGTGATTATCTGGAGTCCATTCCTCCCAGGAATGCACACCTGGCTTTGCTGACATTAGGATGATTTTCTTCAGCAATCTTTGAAAGAGTATAAAAGTGGGTTCTGTCCTAAATTGTACTTGCAGTGAAAAAGTCTACAGTGAAAATAATTTGGATGAAGTCAAAACTGAAATAATGCTTAAATCAATCCCATTATTTGTTTATGTGAAGTTAATTGGTAGAGGATTCAGAACAGAAAAAGTTCTTTTGCATAAAATGAATTAGAACTCTCATGGATTGCAGTACCAGCAAAACTACCAAGAATGAATGTGGCGTAGGTTGGATTACATTTAAGTGTGTGGGTATTTGTCTGCAGGATTGTAATAAAAACATTTTATTCTTCTTGTGTTGTAGGAAGTACTTACCTATTCTAAAGAATTTTCCCTCTAAGTACATCTACGAGCCCTGGACGGCCTCTGAAGAGGAGCAGAAGCAAGCAGGATGTATCATAGGTAGCTCAGATACTGTGCTCAGGATTTTGCTGCTGATAATTGTAAAAAAATAATCACAGGTGTGAAATGGAAGTGCCACACTTCCACCATGAGTCATGCATTTATCTTTTGTCAGTGGATTCACTCAGCAGCCCACTTTTTGTAAATGCATCGGTCTGGTTTGATGGCAGTGGTTGCAATTCTTAGTGAGTCCCCAAAGTGCTCATCACAGATTTTTGATGAAGTTTTACTCTTCCTGCATTTCATTCTTGGAAATAGTTGGTCACAAATGTAGGTATTACCAAAAAGTGATGACATGGATAAGGCACGATTGTGGAGCGAGGGGCATTTTTCTCAGGTAAAAGGGGTCTTATAAAAGTCCTATAAAGAGACATGGTCAATTTTTTGAGCTGAATAGCTGATTGCAACACTATACATTCAATCTGAACATCTGCAGGTAATGCATTTATGACTGAAAATGGAGTCATAAATGTACCGAAAAATTGATGTTTTTTTTTTTTTTCAGCAATCTTGAAACCTATTCTCAAATTCCTTTATCAAAACAGAAAACAAGGCTGCATTGGGAAATTTAGCTGTGTCCTATAATGGCACCAAAGATCCATTTATCCAGTGGCATCGTGTTTGTTATCAATGCCTCTCACAAAAATGGCAATTTGGGTTGTTTCTGTAGCATCAGTACTTTCATATATTGCCAAACCAAATAATTTGAAATTAGCAGCTTTAAGCTCCAGATTTTTTTTTTGATTTTTACATTTCTTCTCTTCATTTGTCCACAGTCTGATGAAACTGATTTTAGAAAAATCTGTTCTTTTTGTTTGTTTGTTTTAAATTGGGACAAATTATATCCTCCATGCCTTCCATACAATTCTCCATAAAGAATTTGCTTTGGTGTTAACCCAGCGAGACATCCTTGCTTAGCCCTGCCAAGTCTCTGTCGTACCAGGTCGGGATTACCCCTTCCCAATGGTGGACCACAAGGAGGCCAGTGATCACAACCTGCAGCTGATGAAGCAGGTCCGAGAGGAGCAGTACAGAACGGCCCAGCTCACCAGAGGTGAGATCCCCAAGTCCAACCACATCTCCATGGTTCTGAACTCCTCCAGGGATGGGTCCCCCACCTCTCCTTGGCTCATATGGAATTCATTATTCCAACCCTGTGCCCACTGATGTATCCAGGAGGTTGCACGTTGATACCCACCAACCCTGCAGGATAGTGAGGTGAATGTTGTTGTGATTGCTCTGGAGATGTAGAAAGCCAAAGCTTGAGAAGCTGAATGCCTGCTTCTGGCATTGCTGCTGTTACCTGTATGTAGGTTTTCTGGCGTACTTGGTAGCTTTACCTGCTGCTGTTCCTGCACTGAGGTCTGAAAGGCTGCAAACTTGTATTCTTCCTTCCTTCTTGCCACAGATGATGCAGATGACCCAATGGAAATGAAGCTGAAGCGGGACCACTCTGAGGAAGGCTTAACGAAGAAAAAAGCAGCCAGGATGACAGAGCAAACCTAGATCCCATTGGAGATTACCCTCTGCGAACAGAAATGGCAGAAGGGAGAGCAGAGGCCATCTGAGCAGGAGGAGATGCACTCTGTGCTTTGCCCCGTGTGTGAACCAACCACCAGCAAAAGCTTTATAGCTTCCATGCATTTGCTACTGCAGTTGTTTTGAATGAATTTGTCTGTCTGTTGGTGGCTTAGTAGTCATTTATTGCAGCTGTAGGTAATGTTTCTGTGTTGTTTTTATTCAAATCCACTCAATGTTCATGCATCTTCATAAATAATTTTAATGATAAATACCACTCTTTCCAACGTGAAAAAAAATGTCAGTTTAAGAATAAATTTATATTAATGTCTTCACACATTAGTGTTAAAAGCAGGATTTGTCTCTCCAGGGTAGACAGGCAAATTTTAAGGGCATTGTTGTATAGTTTCTCAGGGGGGTTAGGGCTGATGTCCTTCTTGGCTTATTCCTCTAGAACTGTAGGATAGGTATTATTCCTATCATGTACCAATGTAAAAGTTCCCCCTTCCATTGAAATGGCTCCTTCTGAAGTGTCACAAGGTTGAGTAGTCCATTTTATTTATTATGGTTGGGGTTCTGGCAGGGGTTAGAGAAGAGGAGAGGGTTTTCATCACCATGGGTGCTACTTTTGTTTATAAAAGAAATAAAAACTGTTTCCGACTTGAAAAAATGTAAGGTCTGTAGATTAATCTGTTGGCACAATTGGTGTCCATCTGCCCTCCTTGGAAAGAAGACAACTATAGCATCAATCCCATATGCCCAGACTCCTTCGCTCTGAAGGCATCCATTGTCCAGTGCAGAAGCAGCCTATGAGCCACATGAACTGTGTGTGTTTTTTTTTTTTACAGTAAATACAAAAGCTGCGAGGACCATCAGATAGATCTGAGAATGGGCCATGTCCTCCTGCTGTGCTAAGCCTGAACTGAGCTCCTGGCTGTGCTGGTGCTTCTTGGCATGCTCCTCTTCAGCACACACAGGGGTTGCCAGGATGACCTGAGTGAAAGGCTGAGCCCTGGATGAGGGCAATGCAGCAATGCAGAGCTGGGTATTAAGGCACAGTCATCTCCTTCGTGTTCTAAAGAGGTCAGCTTTTGCTGTTTCAGTATCGCATCTAGCATTGCTGTGCAAGCAAAGGCTTTGGGTGCTCGTTGGTTAAGGGTGTGCATGAGGATGGAGTGGCGTTGTTTCCCAGGAGGAGAGACTGCAGCTGCAGAGGTTCAAAGAATCTTCGGGACTCCTTTTGTTGAAAGCAGCTGCAAGGTTTGGTCTTTGGTTGGAAGAATTGAGATTTGTGTCTGCAAATAAGCTATGTAGGAGAAACACCTGAGCAGGAAACTGCAAGATCAGCAGAACTGGAAGACGTCTGTTTCTTGGTGACAAAGCAGAGATGAAGAAGTTCCTTCATTCCCCATAAGCTCAGCTGGCAGTGAAAGCTCTGCAGTAAATGCTGCTTGCAAACGGCGATCCTACTGCAGTAAGAACTTCAACTTTGAATGGACAATGACATTTTATGAGCCTATTTGGGCCACTTTTGTCAGAGTAGGGAATCATGGGTCAACCTGCCAACACAGGTGGAAGAACGGAGCTCCACCGAGCTGCTCCTCCCAGCACAGCGAGGAGCCCATCGTGTGCCCTGCATTTCATGTCACTGCGACAATCTGCAGGCAGACAAAGCAAAATGTCACCGAGTTAGTCTTCACTAAGGCTTTCCTCTTGTGCCAGACAGAGGCACCGCGAATGGATTCAGCGCCAGGTTCTGCCGCTCGCTCTGTGCAGAGAACGGAGCGGCGCTGTGCGCCCCGGGTCCGGCAGGGGGCGCTGCAACGGCGCCGTGTGGCCACGAGGGGGCGCCAGGAGCGACTCCTTCCCTCCCTTACTTCCGGTCCCGCGAGAAGCTCTCCCTCTTCGACGCCGCCAACCGCTTCCGGCCGCCGCCGGAAGTGCCGCCGCCGCTCGCAATGCCCCTCGCGGCCGCAGGGTGGCGTCGCGTTCCATTTCCTCTCTCTCTTCCGGAAGTGCCCAAAACGGAAGTGGCCCCCGAGCGGCGGCTGCTTTACAGGAAGTGACGGCCCGCCGCGCCCCTCCCGCCGCGTCCGTTGTTCGCAGCCGGCTCTGCGCTCGGCCCCGCGGCTGAGGCCCGCCCCGCTATGTCCCGCCGCCCGCCGGGCGCCTCGCGGAGCCGAGAGGAGCGGTCGGGCAGCGCAGCGCAGTTGTGAGTACCGGGCCCGGGCGGCGCGGTGCGGGCCGGCCCGGCGCTCACCCCCTCCCGGCGGAGGGCGGACGGGGGCGGGCAACGACGCCGCCGCCGTCTCCGCCGCCGCGCTCCCAGGCGGCTCGGCAGGGCCCGACACCGCCGGGCAGGGAGCCACCCACCAGGTACGGTCCCGCCGCCCTCCTCGCGCCGTCGGCGGGGCCCGGCGCTGAGAGGGGCGAGGCCGCAACGCACGGGGCCGGGCGGCCGCCGCGGGGCGCTGCGCCGCGGAGGATCCGGGGGAGGCGGGGAGCGGGAGGGCCGGGCGGCCGTCGAGGCTGCGCGTCCCACCTCCGGCCGCCGGGCGCCTCGACGGGGCGACGCGCGGGAAGGCGGCGCGTGGTCGGGCTGCCGGCTCCCAGCTGCGCGGCGGCTTTGCGCCCGGCTGCTGTCGTTGTGGGGCCGCTTGTTGTGCCCTGGGCTTTCTGCTGTTCGGGCCGGCGGCGAGTGGTGCGGCTGGGCTGGCTGTGCTGGCAGCAGTGGGTGGGCGCTCCGCGGAGGGGCTGGGAGTCGTTGTTCTAATTGTTAATAATTGTTCCTGATTGATCTGATTGTTCTTAATTGTTCTGATTGTTCCTACCACAAGGGCTGTTCTGGGGCGGGAGAAAGTGTTTCTGTACAGAGCTGTGAACCAGCACAGAATGTTTTTTCTGCCGTTGCTGAAAGTTGCTTAGGAGAAAATATGAAGCTGTTTGGAAAGGCTTTCACCAAAAGTTCTGGGCAGGATTTCTGGCTTCGCACAGAAAGTCAGAATCACTTTTTAGACTTTGTTCAGATAGCAGCAAAATTTAATTATGATACTCAGTTAACGCATGGACACGTCATAGCTGTATAAAGGGAATATGAACTGTAGTCAGTTTGCTTTAATTTGTTCCTGGGCTTCTGCCTCCAGTTTATGCTCAGTCTTGTTTGGCCACTTCCAGAATTTGATTGTGCCCATTGAAATAAATGAAGTTGGTTTTCCGAGGTTTGTGTAACTTGTGGTCTCTGATTGGTTTATTCATAGCTAAAAGGAGAAAGTTGTTTCCAAAGTGTTACCTGGGAGGATGGGCAGCTGGGAATGCAGCTCACCGGAAAGGAAAGACTTCAAACTTTATATTGCTGTCGTTGATTGTATGAGTGAAGAAAACGGGAATCATTTCAACAGAGAAAAATACAGGATCTACTTTCTCTTTTTCTAGCTTGATATGAAAGTAGTGCTTATATATATATGTTAAAAATATCTTTCCTTCCTGTTTCCTTCCCTTATCTCTGCTTTCCTAGGTTGCTTAACACTCAATTCCTGTTGAAGAGGAAACTTTTGGTATTGCCACATATGCTGTCTTTGTAGCAAAATAATGACAGTTTTTTCTGAAGAAAATGTCACTTTGGTGTCACTTACCTCTGTGATTGTCACAGGTTTTTATTTTCTTTTGTATATAGAAGAAAGTTTTCTTTTAGATATAGAAGAAATTCAACTGAATGATAGTTTCTTTGGTGATGTTAGAGAAGATTTAGCACTGTTTGTAGTTCCAAAAGTTTATTGTCTTCAAGTTCTCTTCAAGGATCTGCCTTAATATTCAGTGTCATGCATGTGAAAGTACCACTGAAGTATCATGGCATGCAACAACAGAGGTATTTCTTAGTGACAATGTGTGACACTTGAGAAGGTTTATATTTGTGGGGTAGGGAAGCAGAGGAGCATGAAGAGGAGAAGGAAAATTCTACCTGAATTGTGGGAAAAAAATCCCCATGAACAATTCAGAATGTTTCCCATGTTAAGTTAAGAAAATAAGTGAGCTACTTATTGAACAAAATGAATCTGGCATCTTAAAAATATGGTAGAAAGATTTTTCTCTGAGCTCAAGGAAATCTTAAATTCTTCTAAGAATAAAATGCTTATAGAGAGACAAATAGTTTCTGGATCTCCTCTTCATTATTAAACAATGTCTAAAATGTTGGAAATTCTTTATTTTATTTTGACGATATATGAAACATCAGTCTTGGTTATTAATTTGTATTGCTTGAAGAAGTCCTTGGTGATGTGAGAGATCTGCCATGAAGCATTTTCAATTTGCATCCAAAATAGTAGAAGTGTCTAAAATTGCTGACAGCGACATCTTTCCTTCATAGCTGTAGATGTTTGAATAAATGTGAGTAAGGCTTCTCAATATTTCATCTGAGCGTTTCCTTTCCTTCTTGTCTATCTTTTAGCTTTTTGTAATTCTGCAACTCTGTAAGTACCTGTTATTTGTTTCAGGTGAAAGAATGCTGTTTGCTAGAAAATTATTGTATGGAGTTTCTTAATCTTTTTGTGTTGTGGGTGAAGATAAAAAAAAAATGAAGTTTTTTGTAAACCTGGAAAGCCAAGTGTGGAGTTCAGACAAACTGGAAACATTAGGGGAGGTTTCTTGCTAAACTTAAAGGATGCTGTTTGGAACCTGGCCCTGAGAACAGCTATGTAAGCCCACCAAAAGGGGATGTAGGAAGGGAAGGTAGTGATGCAGGGTGGAAACGAGAAGTATGGAGGTGAGCAATGAGAACTGGTTTTGCTGCTGGAAGTAACATTTATACAGATGCATCCTCTATCACACCTCGCTGTTTTTCTTGCTTCATCTCCATTTGCCTGCTGCTTACCCTCCTGCTTGCCAAATGTTACAGCTGTGCCCTTGCTGTGACAAGTGAAAGAACATACCTCTCAGGAGATTTCTTCTGCCCTTGGAAGCCTGCTCGCAGTGCTAGGTAGTTTGAGTGGAGGTAAGTGCCTGTTTGCACAGCAAAAGTTGTAGTGGTTCAACAGTTCTTTGTCTGTGAAACTTGCTGATAACTCCCTTCTTAATTTTCCTTCAAAATGTTGTTGCTTAAACATGGGAAAGAAGAAAGGTTGAGAATGTGGATGGTGGGGTTGTTAAAGAGGCGCTCAGGAAGGGCTGCAGCTGCAAAGTGCTGTCCAAGAGCTCAGTGCTGAACTTTGTGGTTCTGCATCGTCAGTAGAGCTGGGAGGTTTAAAAGTGTTTCAAAAAACACATTGTTGGTTTTTTGGGTTTTTTTTCTGCTTTAATTACATTCAAACATTCAAGTGTTTCTATTTGTTGCTCTTCGGTTAAGCAAAAATATTTATGTAAGATAACGACACTTCATTGCTAGTTTCTATCAGCTGACCTTTCTGGTTCCAAAACATCCTACTCTGTTTAACCACCGAGTGCTCTGATAGCAGCACTCTGATAGCATCCACTAAGAACGATGTGGCATATTGCCAGTGCTGTCATTTCCAGGATGCTGTTGTTTTTAAAACAAAGGATTTATTTCCTGACCGCTGCACCAATAAATTACTTCAGTCGCTTCTTTTTCCACGCGGTATGCCTAGAAATGAAATTGGACATAATTGTCCAATACTTTGGTAAATGCTAATGTAGCATAGACTTTTATATTGGTCATCAAGGGAAATGTGATCTCTGACTACCAGGAGCTGATCTAATCAGGGAGTCAAGAGCACCCTTCTGGTTTCACATTTGCTGGGAAAGGACCATGTTTGAGCAGATGCAATGGTTTCACACATGGATGTTCTCTCCTAATGGCTCTATTCTAAGCTGACTTGGAAGGCCCAGCTGTATTACTTTGCTGCCAGAAAAAAAGTGCCAGTGGTTGAAAAACTACTTGACAGCAAGCAGAATGCAGTACTGTTGTCATCTGGACTGAGTTTGGGAAATAAGCTCATGTTTTCAGTTAATCTATTGATGTAGAAAGTCAGTAGGACAGAACTAGAATATTTTTGGTGACTGATGCTCGAGTTGGCAGCTTTGCCTTTTTATCCTGGTTCTGATGTCAAGCCATGAAGCCTACTTGCTGTTCATTGGATCCTTTCTACTATAGCGAGAGAGACTGTTCTGTTCCTGTTGGCATCAGCCTGATGTGTCCTGTTGGCAGTTCTTTGGGCAGTAGGTTGTTACACTGAGAGTCCAGGAGTTCTCTGGGGAAGATTCATGCATTCTGACAAACTCACGCAGAGCGGGAGTGTCTCTCTGTCTTGCAATGGATTTGAAAGTCTTATGTCATTCCCCTCTTGGCATTTGAAGCAGTCACAAATTTCAAATTGATGAGGTTCTGTCTGTCTGCTGTCTTGACTTTTTGTCTTCACATCTGCATCTTCAGATTTCAGTGGTTCTGATTCTCTGTATTCCTTCTAGTTCTTGAAGCCCTTTTCTTCTTAGACTAATGTTTCTATAAATCATACAGAACTTCCACGTGTTCCTTGATTACATTAGTTTTCTTTAATTTCTTTGAAGATGACTGACCTTGTAGTACGTATCTGTCTAGAGAATGAATGAGCAGGTGAGCTATAGGCTAATGAGTTGGACACTGTGCATCTTATTTCAGAAAGTGGATGTATTTTGCATCTTATTTTATTTTTTCCACTAGTGTGTCTAAAGTAATTTCTGCTTCCATCTTGTCAAGTGATTAATCTGCCTATATGTTCCTGAAGCATTCCTGAAATTCATACTTCTTATCGCTAAGTAGGGGTGTTAATACAGCAAAAATACAGCTTTTCTGTTAAAGCTGGAGATAGCTTTTTTTTCTTTTCCATTGTAGAAGGAAAGGCCCAGTGAGCAGAAGAGAAGGATAATTTAAGATGTTTCCTTGGGTCTTT